GCGCTCCATGTACTCCTGGAGTACCTCCCCCACAAGCACAGAAAGGCCCTCCAGCCCCAGGGCAAAGAGGTTGGCCGCCTCACTCACCCACATCTTGGCCTGGCCCCCCTCCTCAACGTACAGGCCCCTCGTCTTCATGTCGCCCAGCATGTCCCTCGTCTTGCCCTCCAGCTCGTCGACCTTGGCCTCATCAGTGAGGCCGCACATGGTGTCCCAGCCGTCCCGGGTCACCATGGCTGCCCCGCTCGCCTGCTCCGCCCTCCTCTTGGCCCGCTGGTCTGCCCATGTCTTGGTCAGCATGACGGAGAACTCGGGCGCGTACACGGCATACGTACAGCTGTTGGTTTTGATGTCGCAGTCCGCTGGCTCTGAAAGAGAAGACACCACACCACACAAGACAAGCCCAGACCACACACAACATGACAGCAGCCGACACATACACATGACGTTCATCCCCCACGTGTGTTTGTGAGTATTGGTCTTACCATGTTCTTCACCCTCAGATGCGAACGAATGTGGTGCGTGGAAATTCTTGATGAGTCCGCCGATATAAAATGTAGACAGCAATTGGCCGACAAACGGCCTCGATCCCTCTCCTGCAAATGACGCAGCAGCTCCTCCAGCTTGCCCCCAGCCGATCACACGGACGAGACATGGCATCCCCGTTTGTGTGTGTGTGGGCATGTGTGTGTGTGATGGACATACTTGTAGTATGACTGCACGGGCTCTTTCCACTCGTCCTGAACAGCCTTCTCCACCTGCGACACACCAACCAACCACACCGCCACACAACGACGAGTGAGCCCATCGCAGAATGGCCGCATTATGAAGCTGCACCATGCCCCGCAGCGCCCGCACCCGTGGATGAGGGCGACCTCCTTGAGCAGGGCCTGGATGTTTGGGGCGATGCAGGTCGGCGCGCCTGCTGACGGCCTTGGTGATGGCGGCGCATTTGGCAGCGATGTCCTTGAAGTCGCCATACTTAGCTGAGTGAATAATGCAAAACACACAGACGGCACGGTCAGGAATGCGAGTGTGCAGTGTGTGAGTGGCCTCGTCTTACTCATATCCAGCTTGGGCATCCGAATGGCGAACACCCTCTGCATGGCCGCGACCTCCTGCTGTGCGATGGGGACGTTGTTGGCCGGCGGCGACTTGAACATGGCGGTGGCGCCGTCGACGTCCGTGTGTGCGGCGAGAACGGGCAGGAAGGGCCTGTGGCCCTCGGGGATGCCGAGCTCCTCACACTTGGCCGTCCCCGCCTCCATCACGCGCCGCTTCTGGCAAAGCGCCAGCCACTTGAACTCCTCCACCTCCGACAGGCACGTGTGCTCTTTGATGGGCATTGTCTTCCAGATGCTGTCGAGGGCGTCCGTGGTGGTGAGGATGCTGGCGTTGTTGCCGCCACCGTGCTGGGTGATGAACCCGGACGGCGGGCTGGGCAGTGCGGCGCCGAGCACGGGCGTCTGGTCCTCCTCGTTGACGCGCACCTCCTGATTCTCACGCAAACAACAAGGGGCAGCCGGGGCGGGTGGGGTTCGACAACTGTTGATGAATGGGCTGCTGGGTGGTCGCAAACAGCCTTACGAGGGCCAATAACGTTTCTGACAGAGACAGATACAACATGTGGCAGGAACGCATAACGATGTTTTTTGTGTTTTACATCGAAACTTTCCACGAGCCATTCTTGCTGACAGACTGCCTGAAGGACAGTAGAGAGACCTAAAACGGACAGGAGCAAATGTGAGACATGAAAGTGACTAATCTTTCCTGCTTGTCTCCATGTCTGCCTACTTGTTGGCCGATTGCTGGTCTAGTGGACCCAGTGGGCATCGAGAATGCGCTCCTTCATCTGCATCAGTTGCTCGTCCATGGTGACGAGGCCCTGCGGCAGCCGCTTCATCCGCTCCTCAGGCATGGGCCTCACGCAGTCCAGTACCAGCTCACGCATCATCACTCCCACCTCTCTCCCCCACTCCATGCACGCCTCTCTCCGCTGGAACAGCGAAGGGGGCTTCGGTGCTGCTGACGCGCTCGACTGAGCGGGAGGCGGGATGACGTCCTGGAGCCGATCGGCCCAGCTTAGGCTGTTCTCGATGGCCATTCGGACTGAAAGAGAAGACACCACACCACACAAGACAAGCCCAGACCACACACAACATGACAGCAGCCGACACATACACATGACATTCATCCCCCACGTGTGTTTGTGAGTATTGGTCTTACCATATTCTTCACCCTCAGATGCGAACGAATGTGCTGCGTGGAGATTCTTGATGAGTCCGCCGATATAAAATGTAGACAGCAATTGGCCGACAAACGGCCTCGATCCCTCTCCTGCAAATGACGCAGCCGCTCTCCCAACCGTCGACAGACACGAACTCGACTACCACACTTTTTAACCACAT